AGCTGTGCCATGTGGGTGCTCAAATCCAGACTCTAGCCGTCTGGCAGGGCAGTGAGCACTCTAACCACTGAGCCATCTTTCCAGCCCCCAGTATGTTTATTTTGAGACATGGTCTTGCTGTGTAGTCTAGATTAGTCTCGAATCCGGATGCCTCAGCCTCCCGAGTGCTGGGTTTACAGGCGTGTGTCTTCATGCCTGGCTTTAGGAAGCACAGCAGATTCTTCATAGTGTGAATGGGCCTTGTTTGATCAGTTCGGTGCTGAAATAGAGCAGTCGATGAGCTCACCCACGCTCAGTAGACTACCAGTAAGTAGACTACCCTCTGGAGACAGTTCTCCCCAGGCCTTCTCAGCCTCCCTCCATCTGTCTTCTCATACATATCTTCCTCTTTCCCCTTTCTGTACCCCATGGATTCTGTGTTCCTGGAAAACCTTGTCTAATACACATATCAGGGACTCTATGTGTCTCTGTACTCTCAGCTCCCACTAGCAAGTACAGCCTCACTCCTTTTTTACAGATGGGGAAACTGAGGCAGAGCTGACATAGTACTTCCCAGCTGTCTCAGTTAGGGTTTCTATTGCTATGAAGAGATACCATTGCAGCATGATTCTTAAAAGGTCTTATTAATAAAAACAAACCTGGAGCCGGTATTGGGGTGAACACTGAAAGATCAGAGAAACAGAACAGGCCACAGCTAACCTCACCTTGCCAACTTCTCAGCTGATCCTGTTTTCTCAGACTGGAAGCCTCTCAGTCCTCATCTGGAATGAATCTCAGCTGAACTGCTGCTAAAAGCCTAAAAGCTTAACCAGGCTCTAGTTCCTGGTTCTCACGCCTTATATACCTTTCTGCTTCCTGCCACCACTACCTGGGATTAAAGGCATGTGTCACCATGCCTGACTGTTTCCAGTGTGGCTTTGAACTCAGAGATCCAGATGGATCTCTGCCTTCGGAATGCTAGAATTAAAGGTGTGTGTGCCACCATTTTCTGGCCTCTATATCTAGTGGCTGTTCTGTTCTCTGACCCCAGATAAGTTTATTAGGGTGCACAATATATTGGGGAACACAATATTACCACACAGCATGGCCATGGAAACTCTTACAAAGAAAACCTTGAATTGAGGTGGCTTGCTTACAGTTTCAGAGGTTCAGTCCAGTATCATCATGGTGGGACGTGGGGGTATGCAGGCTGACATGGTGCTGGAGAAGTAGCTGAGAGTCCTACATCTTGCAGGCAAAAGGAAATGGTCTGTCTCACTGTGTGGTATCTTGTGTAGCAGGAATCTTAGAAGGTCTTATTAATAAAATCAAACCTGAGGCCAGTTATTGGGGTGAATGCTGGAAGATCAGAGAAGCAGAACAAGCCACAGCTACCTCACCTTGCCAATTCCTTAGCTGATCCTGTTTCCTCAGACTGGATGCCTCTGAGTCCTCATTTAGAATGAATCTCAGCTGAACTGCTGCTCGAAAGCCTGAAAGCTTAACCAGCCAAAATGCTTCTAGTTTTTGGTCTTCACGCCTTATATACCTTTCCACTTTCTGCCATCACTCCCTGGGATTAAAGGCTCACTTTCTGGAATTAAAGGCATGTGTCACCATGCCTGGCTATTTCCAATGTGGCCTTGAACTCACAGAGATCCAGAGGGATTTCTGCCTCTGGAATACTAGGATTAAAGGCGTGTGCTACCACTGCCTATCCTCTATGTTTAATATTGTGGCTGTTCTGTCTCTGACCCCAGATAAGTTTATTAGAGTGAACAATATTTCGGGGAACACAATACCACCACAATCTTGAGCATATATGAGACCTCAAAGCCCGCCCCCACAGTGACACACTTCCTCTAGCAAGGCCACACCTACTCCAACAAGGCCACACCTACTAGTAGTGCCACTCCCTTTGGGGGCCATTTTCTTTCAAACCACCACACCAGGAGAGTGGTGTTGCTGGGAGGTGAACCCAGATATGTCTCTGCTGTACTCCTGTGTCCACACCTGGTGTTGTACCTCCTTGGGGAAACCCATTCCGCTAGCTCTCAGAGCAGCTGCTGATTCCTGCTGGAAGGAGTCAGTGAGGGACCCTGCCCATGTGCAAAGCTCTGGGTTCAAGCTGATTGGCCACAGTAGCTCCCTTCTAGGTGGAAGTAACATGGATGCCCTGGCTGTGACTCACAGAAGGGAAGGATGGCATTTTTAACTCTGTTTATGTTTTTGAATGAATGGTGCCAATTACTCAGGGGCATACCGAGTAGCTTTTACAGTTCCGAAGATGGACCCTGGACTCTAGCACATGACAGGCAAGTGCTCTACCACTGAGCCCTACCTCAGCCCTCTGGAAAATCCTCTCTCCCAGTGACCATACCAGGCCATTGTAGAGGTCAGAGGTGGTGGGGACAGTGGAAGGCAGATTTGATCTCAAGTCTGTATTCCTGGCAGTCTTCTCCATGAGGTCACTGGCTTCTCGGCTCTTCTGTCACTGTCTCTAGATGACCCTCCCATGATGTCTCCTTTTTAACTGCAGGGACTCAAAGCCATCAGTGGTCCCTTAGGTTTGGGGCTGTTGGCTCTCAAGGCCACGCTCCCCATTTGGGTTCCTGAGGCTTTGCATGGTCAGTACTGTCAGTCCCCATGTCTGCGGTCACCCACAGAGCCCCTTCATTTCCCTGCTGTGGCCAGGGCCCCAGCCCCAGCCCTGAGCCTGGACAGGGACCATTTGACTGTGGCCGGACGTCCCTGCTGCCGCTGCTGCACACACTGTCACTCAAGCATATGCTCTAAGGAAATGAGGGACCATCTGCTCCCTCCTGGATGCTGTGACCCGGAGCTTCAGCAGGAGGGGGCAGAGGAAACGGCAGGGTCCACACCTGCTCCCTTCAGCCAGTCCTGTCTTCATTTCCTTAGTCCGTGTGTCAGTCCAGTGTCTCTGTCATCCCAGGGTGCAGAGAGCCGAGGCCAGGCTGGTCTAGAGCACAGGCTCTGTGTCTGGCATTGGACTGAGAATTGGCTTTAGAGAATTGAGCCTTGGGCTGGCAAGATGGTTCAGAGGGTAAAGGCACTTGCCACCAACCTGAGTTTTATGGTAGATGGCAAAAACCCATTCCTGCAACTTGTCCTCTGACCTCCATCGCTCACCCTAGCATGTTCGTGTGTGCGTGTGTGTGCGTGTGTGCGTGTGTGTGCGTGTGTGCGTGTGCGCGCGTGCGCGCACAGTAAGTTAATTAGTAAAAAATACTTTGATCTCACCCTTCATCGTAGCTCATCAAGTGTGTCCTACCCCACCCATTTCCCTGATGAGGACAGTGAAGGACAGGTGGGTGACAGGATACCAGCACAAGAGGAAACGACCAAGCTTCGGTTTACATCCCTGGATGTTAAGCCACGGGACCCCTCTGCAGCTTCTTGCCCAGGGTGGAGTCTCAGCCCTGACCCTTCAAGTCTGACACTTCTCAGCAGCTGGGGACCAAATGAAACATTTGGGAGACAAAGTTCTGGGGTGGCAACCTGCAGCGTGGGACGCTTGGTGAGTGAGGACCACTCAGCCTCAGTATCTGTCCTGGAGGCTGCACACTCAGTGGGGACAGGGACCTGTTTATGGCCCCCATGATCCCGCCAGTTAGTCTAGGCCATGGCGGCCTGTGACAGCAGTGGGCTTAGCTACCTTTCACGGATGAGAAACAGGGGTGGCGGGTGGGGGTGGAGAGGGTGCCTAGAGGTGAGGAGGGGAGTGATGCTCTCATCCCCATGCAGGAAGCATCCCAGGTCTACAGAGTGCCCCACTCATTACCTCTTCAGATTTTTTTTTTTGGAGGTCTCAGGTAGCCCAGGCTGGCCCCAAACTCCCTGTCCTGGTTATTTTTCTGTTGCTGCGATAAAATATGGACCTAAAGCAACTTGGGGGAAGGAAATGATTCTTTTCGGCTTGTAGGTTGTAGTCCGTCATGGAGGGGCGTTAGGGCAGTAACCTGGGGGGCAGGAGCTGAAGTGGAGGCTGTGGAGGAATGATGCTTACTGGCTTGCTACCCGCAGCTCACTCAGTTCGCTGTCATACCCTCCAGGATCCCCTGCTGAGGGGTACCATCTCCTGCCGTGAGCTGAGCCCTCCCACATATACCATTAATCAAGAAAATCCCTCTAGAGGTCTGCCCCCAGGCCAGAGTGATGGAGGCAATTCCACAGTTGAGGTCCCTCTTCCCAAATGACTGTAGCTGGTGTCAAGTTGGCAAAATCTAACCAGCACCCTGTATGGCCAAGGCTCCACCTCCTGAGTGTTGGATGCCAGCCTTACACCACCATGCCCAGCTGAATGAGGAGTTGTGGAGGCCCAGCCTGTGGGCAACCAGTGCAAACCTCTCCAGTAGTCCCTGGCCAGCGTCCGAACAAGGTAGACTGGCTTGTGGACCCTGCCTAGAGGAAGGCCCACCCCTCTACACCCTAAGCTAGCACAGCACCCAGTGTGTCCAGGAGGAGGGTAGGGGCGGAGACCAGAACTGAAGAGACAAGGAAGGGTATAAGGGTCGTGAGGGCGCAGAGTGGGAGGTGGTGGGGAAAGGTGCTTGGGCAGCCATTGGTTCCTACCCCAGCCCCTTCTGTCCATTGGGCATGCCAACTGGTACACCTACTTCTCTTTGTGTGTCAAAGGAGACACCAAACCAATGGGCCAGGCTGGGCTCACTGTGCCCATGGCCGTCCCCTCTGCCTTCTCTATCTGCTCTGCATGTCCACCACGGCTGACGGTCACCTTCACAGCCAGTGGCCACACAGGTATGAGCTCAGGCTGGGTGTGGCCACATCACGAAGACGCCTTGTCCTCCCATGGCGTGCAGGCCCTACTGGGCCCCAGAACTGTATCCTGCTCCAGAACTGTTCCTTCCCCAGAGCCCTTACGGCTGTCCACCTGTCCCCAGGCAGGATCACCACTATGTAAATGTTTGTGCAAATCTCACTGTGGGATGGCAGGCTCCGCAGTGAGGTAGGGCCATCTCCTAAAGCATTACTTCGCTGTCATGGGGCCCCAGGCAAGGACACTCCACTTGCTGTTTCTCCTACTACATGTTCTGACTAAGCCAGTCCAGCTGGTAGAGAACTCTGACTTCCACCTGGCTGGGGACTACCTCCTGGGTGGCCTCTTTTCTCTCCATGCCAACGTGAAGAGCATCTCCCACCTCAGCTACCTGCAGGTGCCCAAGTGCAATGAGTGAGTCTCCACACGAAGCTGCGGGTGGTGGCGGGGCGGGCATGGAGTCAGGGTCAGGGAAAGCAGAGTCCTCAGAAGGCCGGGCCAGGGCCCAGAATGCTTCTCATTCTTTGCCAATCCCCCAATCCTAGACCCAGCCTGCTAGTCTCCAGTGCCCCCCACCCCCTGCACGGTCTGTGCTCCTGGAATTTCAAGCAGTTGTGTTTGTAATCCTGAGATCTGGATTGCCCCTTTGTTACATCCCTGGAAAGACAGGATGTTTAAGCTCACAGGGTCACCACCAAAGCCATCCTCCACTACCTGTGGGAGCCCCAGTAAGACCATGTCAAAGCCTTGTCTAGATGCCAGGCTCTGTGTGGTGGTGTTTAAGTATTGGGTTCAGACACCGGACACTGAGGAGCCCATTGCAGTTTCCAAGGTTGTGGCTGGGGAGACAGGGAGTGCTCCAGGCTTGGAGAGCCCTCCTTCTCCCTCCGTGAGCCATTTGGGGTGACAGCACCATTTAGAGACCGAGTGCACACGGGAGCCATCCTGACCTTGCTCAGGAGGTGGAACATTGTGGGAGATGGGAAAGAGGAAGGGAGAGAGGAAAGACTGACGAAGTGTTGATGGTGGGAATTCCCCACTTAGATGATGAGGAGGAGGATGGTGTGTGGACTTGAGGCTGGGGAGGATGGTGCAGTGATGGCACCGGGCATGGTGCTAGGTTTTCTGATGCCTGCGATGATGATGGTGATGATGATGATGATCATCATCATGAGGTCTGTAATGATCGGCAGGACCAGTGGCAGCGACATGGTAATGACACTAGTAATGTTGACTGCAGCAATAATGGTGGTAGTTAAATGGGTACAAGGACGGTGGCAGTGAGGTGGTCATGGTTGTAGTAGTTATAGTGATGGTGGTGACGGTAGTCGTGATGGCGGTAGTATTGGTAATGGTGGTGTTGATGGTTATTGTATTGTTTTAAAGATGGGGGTGTTGATAGTGACTGTTAGTAGTGATAATAATGGTGTTTATGGTGGTGATGATGGTAGTGGTCATGGTATAGTAGTGGTGCTGGTGATGGTGTTGGTGATGATAGCAGTTGTGGCAGTAGTGTTGGTGATGATGTAGTGGTAGTGATGGTGGTGGTGATGGTGGTAATGATGGTATTATTGGTGATAGATGATGGTGGTAATGATGGTATTATTGGTGATAGTGGTGTAGTAGTAGTGATGGCATATAGTAGTGATGGTGGTAGTGGTGCTATTAGTGATGGTGATGGTGGTGGTGGTGGTGACGGTGGTGATGGTGGTGATTGTTGTTAGGGGTGGTATAGTGGTAGAAATAGTGGTACTAGTGGTAATGGTGTTACTGACGGTGGCGTTGGTGTTGATAGTGGTGTAGTAGTAGTGATGGTATATGATAGTGATGGTAGCAGTGGTGGTGATGGTGTCATTGTTGGTGACGGTAACGGTGTGGTGGTCCTGACGAGAGCAAGGATGCTGATGTTGTTAGTGGCGGTGATGGTAACGGTGTGGTGATGGTGGTGGTGATGATGACCACAGTAACAGTGATGGCAGTGGTGGTGCTGGGGCAGGGAGAGATGGTGGTGACGGTGGGGATGGCAATGATGGAGGAGATCAGGACAATGACGGGTGGACAATGGTAGAGATCATAGGACTCACAGTGTGGTCACAGGGACAGTGGTGACAAGGATGTGGCAAATGCCAGAATCTTCTGTAATACTTGTCAAGCTTTCCTGTGTGGGGAACCATCATTATCACCAGTACCACCACCATCATCATCACAGTCCCTTCCCCTCCCTGGGGACCCGCCCTCACAGTGTGAGCCCCTCCCCTCCCTGGGGACCTGCTCCCCCACAGTGTGAGCCCCTCCCCTCCCTGGGGACCCGCCCTCACAGTGTGAGCCCCTCCCCTCCCTGGGGACCCGCCCTCACAGTGTGAGCCCCTCCCCTCCCTGGGGACCCGCCCTCACAGTGTGAGCCCCTCCCCTCCCCGTGGACCTGCCCTCACACTGTGAGCCCCTCCCCTCCCTGTGGACCCGCCCTCACAGTGTGAGCCCCTCCCCTCCCTGGGGACCCGCCCTCACAGTGTGAGCCCCTCCCCTCCCTGGGGACCCGCCCTCACAGTGTGAGCCCCTCCCCTCCCTGGGGACCCGCCCTCACAGTGTGTGGCCCTGCAGGTACGACATGAAGGTGCTGGGCTACAACCTCATGCAGGCCATGCGCTTCGCTGTGGAGGAGATCAACAATTGCAGCACTCTGCTACCGGGCGTGCTGCTTGGCTACGAGATGGTGGATGTGTGCTACCACTCCAACAATGTCCATCCTGGGCTCTACTTCCTGGCACAGGATGATGAATTCCTGCCCATCCTCCAAGACTACAGCCACTATATGCCCCATGTGGTGGCTGTCATTGGCCCAGACAACTCTGAGTCTGCCATCACTGTGTCCAACCTCCTCTCCCATTTCCTCGTTCCACAGGTGATTCCTGGGAGATGTGGCGGGAGAGGGGCAGAGGGTGAGGAGCTCTTCCCTGTCACCTCTTCACCCTCTGAACCTCAGTTTCCCCATCTGTAAAGTGGGCTGATGAAGCTCCACCCAGGACTTTCTGTGGGTTGAAGTGGTCAACATGAAGGAGTTTTCAGCACACCGCAGGTGGCCTGCAATGCTAGCGTTCCCACCAACTCCATCTTTCTCAGGAATGAGAACTAACGAGCATTCAGAATTAGCTTGCTCAATTGCCTAGCACAAAACCTGACTCACAGCAGGCCCTCAAGGAGTGCCTCCAGGGCCTGGGGAGATGGCTCAATTGGTAAAGTGTTTGTTGTGCAAGCATGGGGACCTGAGTTTGGATCTTCAGCACCCACATAAAACACCAGGGCCAGCACCGGGGGGCTGCGGATGGATGGAGACAGGATTCCCTAAGCTCACTGGATGGCCAGTCTTGCTCAGTGAGCTCCAGGTTCACTGAGAGGCCTTATCCCCAAAAACAGGGTGGACAGTGATTGAGGAAGACACCTAACGCTGCCTTCTGGCCTCCATACATGTGCACATGAACCCATACACATATGCTCAACACATGTGTGTCATGCACACATATATCATGCACACACACACATGTACACCCAGAAAAGTGCTGATAGTCTCACTTATATTTTAAATTTGGGGGTGGGGTGGGGCGTGAGATGGGGGTCTCTCTACATAGCCCTGATGTCCTAGAACTCACTATGTAGATCAGGCTGACACTTCAAACTCACAGAGATCCACCTGCCTCTGCCACCCGAGTGCTGAGACTAAAGGAGTGCCCTGACATGCCTGGCATCTTTAAGTTGTTTTGAGTCACATCTTCATTTACTTTTGGGGAGAGAATACATGCATGTATTATGGCACGTGTGTGGAGGTCAGAGAACAGTCTGTGGAAGCTGATTCTCTCCTTCCTCCAAGTGGATCTTGAAAGAGTGAGCTCATCCTCGGGCATGGCGGCAAATGCCTTTTCCTTCTCAGCCATCTTGCAAAGCTCTGACTGCTGTCCGTCTGTCACGAGCCACATGAGAGAAAACGCCCAGTCCAGCACAGCTGTAGAATACTATTAAAGATCAGATTGGCACACAGTAGGCTGGCGCTAGTACTGGACTTGCTGCTGTGGCTCTTACCTTGTAAAGTACCTAGAGCAGGGTCAGACACATGGTAGGTGCTAACTATGTGCTTACATTTTGATGTGCAATGTCTGGTCCAGGACTGAGCTCATCCCTTGAGCACCTACTGTATGCCAGGGACGGTTGTGGGTGCTGGGGAAACACCTGGGAACCAGGCACAAATCCCTGCCTGCGTGCAGTCTGTCTCCTACAGGAAGACACAGATGATACGTGCAGATAAATGAGAGATTCACAATGTCAGGAGTGCTATGGGTTAAAGGCAGAGTAGCCAGGGTGGAGACTGAGGCAGGCTTGAGACAACTGGACTTTTCAGCGTGGTGATCAGGTGGGTTTGCTGACCACAGGATAAAGGCTCCAGGGCTTAGGGGAGCTATGCAAGCAGCCGGGAGGAGGGCATTCCAAGAGGCTGGCAGATGTGATGGTAAGAGACACCTGATGGGCTTACACAACAGGGTGAGCGGAGCCAGGGCCTGGAGGAAAGTAGGAGGAAAGGGAAGCAGAGGCCACGAGGATGATGCTGGGATGGAGTGGGGAGGGCGGCGATGGGTGGGTACCCTCAGGGGACAACTGAAAAAACTGGCTGATGAGTTTGTGGTGTGTGCAGAAGGCCAAAGATGCCACCGAAGCTTTTGGCCTGAAAACTGGAAGGGATGGATTCCTTAGGTGAGGGGGACCCTGCAGGTGTCTATGCAGGCAGAGATGAGAATGAAAATCCAGTGTAGACTGACTTCCTCAACTTGGATCAGACTTCAGGAAGTCCGGTGCCAGGTGGTTCATTGTCAGAATATTTAAAACACAGTACGATTTGGGAAAAGTTTCCAGGCAACAATCATTCCCATCTCAGATTCACAATAAAGCTTAAGGTGTAACTACATAGAAACTCCTTTACAAAGTACCTGTGACCATGATGGTGGGTTCTAGCTAAAAGTCCTAGAATCTAGTGTGGTCTCTGACCAATAGCATAGAGGTCAGCAGTACATGTGACTTCTCCCCTAAGGGTGGGTTCTATTAACTAGGAGCTAGGGAGGAAAAGTCTGGCATAAACATTCTGGGGGGTTTGGGTGAGATCTTCCTCTATAGCAAAAGGTGGGTGAGGTCTGCCTCCACAGATAGCAAAGAGGTCATCAAGTCGTTAACAAAATCCACTCAGCTTACTGGAGATATTTCATTTGATCTCCCCCATTGAGAAGACACCCCTACGTGATTAACACTCCTGGTTTCTCTAATGATCCATGAACAAAAAGATCTTTATGCTCCCAACACATATGGACAGGTGGGAAGATGCTGGATGAACTGAGAGAAGAGCCAGAGTCTGGGAATGGAAAGGTCAAGTTCGAGATGGGAGGCGGACATTTTCAAGTCCACTTCTGAGGTTCAGGAGGGAGGTTGGAGCCAGAGCTGGATGATGGTGTCTCTGGCTTGAAACAATGTTTACACAAAAGGCTGAATGAGAGTTGTGAGGAGGGCAGGGGTGGTGGAGGAGAACCGAGGCTGGGAGCCTGCACTTAGGGGTACACTGAGACTATGAAGTCACAGCAGAGGGAAGGAACCATGAAAAGAGATGGAGTAGCCAGTGAGGGGAACAAAGCCTCAATTGGGAGGCATGTGACCAATGGTGAGGCTGGGATGCCCTGCGAAGAAAAAAATGGCGCTCAGGATGTGTGGTAGGAGCTCAGTCAGGGTTCCTAAGTGGTGGGAAGGAGACAGATGTGTACCACCTAGTCAGGATGTGACACACAATAGATGCCCTGTCAGGGGCAGTAGGTGATGAGGAGACTGATGTGGGTCACTCGGACAAGTCATAGTGCATAGCAGGGTCTCATATTTACTAAGGTGGCCATGATGATGACAGTGTAAACCCATCGCTGGGCACGTATGTGTCCCCATATGTCACCAGGGTGATGATGTCAGGTGGAGTGCCTCCTCTAATACCTCACTCCGGCAGGTCACATACAGCGCCATCTCCGACGAGCTGCGGGACAAGCGGCGCTTCCCGGCGATGCTGCGCACAGCGCCCAGTGCCAGCCATCACATCGAGGCCATGGTGCAACTGATGATCCACTTCCACTGGAACTGGATTGTGGTGCTGGTGAGCAACGATGACTATGGCCGGGAGAATGGCCAGCTGCTGAGCCAGCGTCTGATCAGAACAGGTGACATCTGCATCGCCTTCCAGGAGGTGCTGCCCACACCCGAACCCAGCCAGGTCATGGGGCCTGAGGAGCAGAGCCAACTGGACAACATTCTAGAAAAGTTGCAGCGGACCACAGCCCGTGTTGTGGTGGTGTTCTCGCCAGAGCTGGCCCTGCACAACTTCTTCCGGGAGGTGCTGCGTTGGAATTTCACTGGCCTCGTGTGGATCGCCTCCGAGTCCTGGTCTATCGACCCAGTTCTGCACAACCTTACAGGGCTGCGCCACACGGGCACTTTCCTGGGCATCACCATCCAGAGGGTCTCCATCCCTGGCTTTAGCGAGTTCCGAGTGCGCCATACCAAGGCAACGCAACCCATACCCAACAAGACCAGCCCACGGGCCACGTGCAACCAGGACTGTGATGCCTGTTTGAACATCACCGAGTCCTACAGCAACGTCCTGATGCTTTCTGGGGAGCGTGTGGTCTACAGTGTGTACTCGGCAGTCTACGCGGTGGCCCACGCCCTGCACAGGTTCCTGCGCTGCAACCAGGTCCGCTGCACCAAGGAAGTGGTCTACCCATGGAAGGTGAGGGCCTAACCTTGCAGGGACCGACTCCACCGTTGCCGTGCTCAGGGACTCAGGATATGGGCAAAGAAAAAGCCGGACTTGGCTGTGTGTGTCCGTAACCCCAGTGCTGGGGAGGGTAGAGATGGAAGGATTGCTGGGGTCGCCAGCTGCCAACGAAGCTCCAGGTTCAGTGAGAGACTCTGTCTCAAGGGAATAAGGTGGACAGCGACAAAGCAGGACACTTGATGTCCTCCTCTGGGCTCTGTGCGGGTGCACAGACATGCCCCCCCAACATATACACTACACACACACACACACACACACACACACACACACACACACACACACACACACACGGGTACATCAACACAACAACACAGCTTTGTTCTATCTCAGCCACGTGTCTCTGCCGCATATCCTCAGAGCTTAGTTCCACTGCTCTAAGTACTTACGTTCTGAAATGTGCAGTTCTTTGAAAGGTGTTTGGCTACCGGCTGGATTTGACTCTTGAGTGCTGAGGCTCTGGTAACCTGTGTCACCATTCAGAGCGGTGCTGCACCGCTTGCCAGGTGCCCGCTAGGATGCATCGTGATGGTTCTTTCACACCTAGGGAGACTGAGGCACAGGGAGCCAGAGTCACAAAGCCAACTAACTGCAGAGCGAGGACTGCAACTCAGGCCTGGGCTGCTCTGTTCAGAGCACATTCTGGCCAGCACCAGTTTGGGGAGATGGACTCCGAAAGAGCTGACCCTGTGGTGTGGGAGAATGGGAAGGACTGAGTGCAGGGAAAATTCCAGATGATATTTGCAGTGGAGAAAACCCCCAAGGGACACCCCAGGTGACTTCTAGGGAGGGGAAGGTGAGAAAGCAATATTCTCTGCTACTATTCTAAGTTTTTTTTCTTAATTTTTATTTATATGAGTGTTACGTATGTGCACCACATGTGTGTAGTGCCCATGGAGGCCAGAAGAGGGTGTTGGATCCCCTGGAGCTGGAGTTACAGGTGGTTGTGAGCAGCAATATGGGTGCTGGGAATTGAACCCAGGTCCCTGGAAGAACACTCAGTGCTCTTAACCGCTGAGCTAGCTCTCTAGCCCGCATTCTAAGGTTCTAATATGGCTCCAGAGCCCAGAAGACAGGGTCCTGCTGCCTCCATTTTGCAGAAAAGAAACTGGAGTCCAGAGAGGTTGAGCAAGAGGCCCAAAGTTTCAGGAGTGTGGCAGGGATGAGGCCTAGCTCCAGGCACACCAGGTTCCAAAGTCACCTACTACCCGCCGACCGATGCTCCCCCAGAGCTTGACGCGCACATTTGACAGGTGTTGAGGCCGGTGCAGGGGTGGTAGACTCCCAAATGTCTGGTCCCATCTCTGATGCCAGCTCTGCTTCCCTTCTTTCTGACCCCTCCAGCTACTCAGGGAGCTCTGGCACGTCAACTTCACCCTCCTGGGCAACCAGCTCTTCTTCGACCAACAGGGGGACATGCCAATGTTCTTGGACATCATCCAGTGGCAGTGGGACCTGAGCCAGAACCCCTTCCAAAGCATCGCCTTCTACTCCCCCACCCAGCAGAGGATGACCTACATCCACAATGTGTCCTGGCACACCCCCAACAACACGGTCAGCTTGGAGGGTAGTAGTGCCTGGGGGCTTGTCAAGAAGGGCCCTCAGAGATGCATCAGTCACGGCCGGTGGGGTCTCCATTTGGAGTGTAGGGCCTGCGGTCCTGTCCTTCTTTGCCAACAGAGAACTATGGAGTTTAAGGTGCTCTAGCTCCAGCAGATGGGGGACTGGGGGCGGGACTCTGCTTACAGCCCTGTGCTGAAGTGCACGTGACTCCCATATCAGCCTGAGGTGATGGGATTAGGCACATTCTTTGATGCTGCCACCAAATGACTGACTGAGCAGCTTAAAAAATGAAGGGTTTATTTCTACTCAGGGTGGGCACGTGAGGTGTAGGTGTAGGGGTGTGTGTGTGTGTGTGTGTGTGTGTGTGTGTGTGTGTGTGTGTTAAGGACACAGTCCATCATGGTGGGGAAGGGACGGCAGCAGGAGCCCAAGTAGGCTGGTCACATGATATCCACAGACAGGAAGCAGAGAGAGATGGAGGCTGGTGGTCAGCTTACTTCCTCCATTTTATTCAGCCCAGGACCCCAGCCCATGGGACAATAGTGCCCACACCCACAGTGCCAACACCCAGGGTGGATCTCCCCTCCTCTGCTAAACCTTTCTAGAGACACCATCTCAGACACACCCAGAGGTGATTCCCATAGTTTTTAAGTTTCATCAAGTTGTTAGGATTACACATCATAGAGACCGAGGCTACCGCTCTCCCCATTGTGTGGATGAGAACACCAAAGGCACAGAGAAGTTGTGTAACATCCTTAAGTCCACACAGCTGGTCTGTAGTCGAGGCTTTCTCTACATAGCCTTCCAGCTATAGCCGGTCATTCAGTGTTGAGCTTGTGGAGTCAACTAGGTTGGTGTCTTTGTCTGTTTTCTTGAGCTTAAATCACGGGAGTTCTTTGTCTCAGGTTCTGGAGGCAGAAGAAGAGGGAGAGGTGCCGCTGGTCCCTGCAGAGGCCAGGAGCCAGTCTGGCCTCTCTCCTGGTGTTTGGCAGCTTGTTGGTGCTCCCTGGATTTCCTTGGCTTGCTGGTGCTCCCTGGCTCTCCTCGGCTGGCTGGTGCTCCCTGGCTCTCCTCGGCTTGCTGGTGCTCCCTGGCTCTCCTCGGCTTGCTGGTGCTCCCTGGCTCTCCTCGGCTTGCTGGTGCTCCCTGGCTTTCCTTGGCTTGCTGGTGCTCCCTGGCTTTCCTTGGCTTGCTGGTACTCCCTGTCTCTCCTCGGCTTGCTGGTGCTCCCTGACTCTCCTCGGCTTGCTGGTGCTCCCTGGCTTTCCTCGGCTTGCTGGTGCTCCACTCCGATCTTTGCCTTCTTCACCTGGCAGTGTCTTTGTGCTTTTGTCAGGGTCCCTTGTCAGGGTCCACATGTCCCCTCTGTGTAAGAACATAGTCCTCGCCGATGAGGGACCCTTCTTCTCCTTAATCATATATGCGATGACCCTGTAACGGAATCAGGTTACATATTCAGGTCATAGGCATTAAGATCTCATAGGTCTTACTCCAGTCTGAGTTCCCACTGAAATGCAGAGCCTGAGGCAAGTGTCTCGTGTGATAGATTATTACAGATATGCCCCCAAGTACCATGATTGGGAGTTGGAAAAGCATGCAGGAGGGAAGAGGAGAAACCGGTCCGAGGGAATGCCCTCAAGCCAGACCCTGCTGTGAACCACTGGAGGGCCATCTTTCTGTCACCTTCTAAGGACTGGCCTTCGAGCTGTGTCCCAAGGAAGAGAAATGGTCAGCATGGATTGGCTGGATCTCATCTCCTGGTGGCCACAGGTTGCTCTGTGGTGTGCTAAGCCCTTGTATTTCCAGGTCCCATGTGGCTGAGGGCCTAGCAGCTCCAGATGGACGTCTTAACCACACCCTCATGGTAGAGAGTGAAAGGCAAAGCCTGGCAGCTGAGGCGGGGTGCTGGCAAATGATGGCTACATGAGATTGTCCTGCTTGAGTCTGGAGGGCCACAGAGCCTTTAAGGCACTGGGCAGCCCTGTCTGTGCAAAGGGGGCATTTGGTGGGCAGTGACAGGAGGTGAGCATCTCTCTCTTCCGCCTCCATTCTGGAGTCCCTCCCTTTCACTGGCGTGTGGCTGCTGGTTGCTCTGGTTGACCCCTTCAGATGATGTCTATCCTAGTGTCCCCAGCCCTCAGCCGCCTGGTTGTAAAGGGACCTTAGCAGTTGTCCCCGAGACGGAGGCATAGGGCTGTCCTCAGGTATCCAGCAGTCTACCCTGAATGCCCTAGCTTCTTGTGAGAACCCAAGCCCCCTCCTTCTGGGACCTTCTCATTCACCGGTGGGGGGGTCCTCAGAGGAACCAGGTGGTTTGCTATGGATATGTCTCCCCACTGGGGACCAGAATCCCACCCCTACCACTCTAAGACCTCAACTTTTACAATCTAGTGCAGAAGTTCTCAACCTGGGGGTCTCAACCCTTTGTGGGGGTCGCCTAAGACCATCAGAAAACACAGATATTTACATTATGACTCATAGCAGTAGCAAACTTAGTTATGAAGTAGCGATGAAATAATGTTGGGGGTCACTACAACACGAGGAACTGTATTAAAGGGTCACAGAATTGGAAGGTTGAGAACCACTGCTCTAGTGAAGGCCAGGGATTTGAGGTCCTTTATTATTGATTTGTTTGTGTACTCCACGGTGACAGGGATCAAACCTAGGGTCTTCCACATGTTAAGCAAGAGCTCTACCATCTGGCCACATCCTGCTCTTCCTCCTCCTTTTCCTCTCCCCTTCTTCCTTCTTTACTTCCTCTGCCTCCCTCCCTTCCTCCTCCCCTTCCTTCCTTCCTTCCTTCCTTCCTTCCTTCCTTCCTTCCTTCCTTCCTTCCTTCCTTCCTTCCTTTCTTCCTCTCTTCCTTGTCCACAGGGTCTCTAACCCAAGCTGGTTTCAAATACACTATGTAACGGAGAATGAAACTGAATATGTGATCCTTCTGCCTCCACTTCCTGAGTGCTGGGATTGCAGGCGTGTCCTACCATCCCTGGGTTATGGAGTGGTGGGTTCAAATCCAGGGCTTCACGAATGCTGGGCAATCTCAACCAACTGAGCTACATCTCCAGTCCCCTTGGTTTTCTTATATAGAGTCCCGCTGTGTAGCCCAGGATGGGCCCTCTGCAAGGGAGGCCAGTGCTTTTAACCTCTGAGCAGCCTCTCCAGCCCCTCCTTCTGTTTTTTATTTATTTATTTTTATCTCATTTGATTTTTCTGTACTTGGAGAACATGTCTACCGTGATTTCAATCTTTTTAATGTGGTTAAAACTTGCATCACAGCCAAGCCTGGATAGTGTCCGTCCTGGGAGATTCATGCACATTGGAGAAGATTCTGCGCTCTGCGGCTGCTGGGCAGAGTGTCCTGGTAGAGTGTGTTGTTTTATGGTATTGGTCAACTTCTCCACTTCATTGTGGATCCTCTGTTTAGTTCTATGCATTAATCGAAAGTATGATGATCAGTTTCGAATACTAGACATTCTCTGTTTTCCTTTGCCTCTTGCTTGCTTTATGTATTTGGAGTCTCTCTTGTTAGGGGCGTATGTGTTTATACTTGCATTATATGTGGTTGCTGTGCCAGAGGCTTACATGTGTTTCATGCTCCTTTTCTGGGGTCTCTTATAATATCTTTGGGTTTCTCTCGAGATTCCATCTTTTATTTTATGTATTTGTAGTTTTGTTTTTTAATCTGAGTGAGTAAAGATTCAGCCTCAGTCAGTCAGTCAGTCATTTGCTCGGTAAGTTTTCTTATTAATTTGCTTTCTCTAGGGTTATTTCTCCTACCAGTAAGTGGAACACTCTGTGTGTTCCTGAATACCCTCTTCATGCACCTGACTGCAGTTTTGGAGGCTGTGCTGGGCTCCACGGCCCAGTTCTCTGGGGATCTGAGTTGCTGATTCTGGGTTTGCTCTTCTGTCTTCTCACTGTGAGGACTTCAGGCTTCCCATGATCAAGCTGGAAGCCAGCCATACCCAGTTTTTCCTCAAAGTCCCAGTGAAGCTCTCCCGTGTAGCACTTTTAGCATTCTCCATGGTATTTAAAACTTTCTATCTAATTCATGAAAATACTAGTATTCAATGCTGTACACCAGCATCTGGCATCAGTTTATGCCCTGAGTTTCTGTGTGTGCAGGTGTGCATACATATGTGTGCTGGTGCATGGTATGTATATATATGTGGAGACATTAACCTAGAAATGTCATCTGATGACTGGTACAAGAAGTATGTGCATGTTGGGGGACATGAAGGCAGAGACCTCAGACTTGAAAGAGGCAAAAAGAGATGGGCTCTGGTGTCAAGGGGTCCTTCTGGGGCTCCCCGGTCTGAGCCCTGGCTCCTTTGTAGCTAGAGTTTTCCTGCCTTGCCCACAGTCAGGACAAATCTTTGTCACCTGCCAGTCCCACAGCCGCTCAGACCCAACCAAGTAAACACAGAGACTTATATTGCTTACAAACTGTATGGCCGTGGCAGGCTTCTTGCTAACTGCTCTTATAGCTTAAATTAATCCATTTCCATAAATCTATACCTTGCCACGTGGCTCGTGGCTCACCGGCATCTTCACATGCTGTTTGTCATTGTGGCAGCTGGCAGTGACTCCCTCTGCCTTCCTGTTTTCTCTGTTCTCTTCTCTGTTAGTCCCACCTATACTTCCTGCCCGGCCACTGGCCAATCAGTGTTTTATTTATTGACCAATCAGAGCAATTTTACATACAGACCATCCCACAGCACCCCTTCTTGTGTATGTCTGTAACAGACGGTTTTCCTTGGTCACAAAAAACGATCTCCACAGGATCTGGCAGCTGCTCACCCACCCCAGAGCTGTGACTGCCTGAGGTACTTCACTGTCTCCTCCCTCTACCATGCTCTAGCCACACATGGCTCCCCTCACAAGGCTCGGACACTATACCTTCCTCATCCTCTTCCACACCAGCCTCACACCTACTGTTTCCTGTGTATAATCCATCCATTCAGTCCATGCTTGATGACCTTTCTGTGCTGGGCTCTTCTGTAGTAGAGACAATAGCCAGGAATACTGCCCGTGTGCTCTAGTTCACCTGAGACCCCTGCATTTCAGAAGGACATGAAAGCAGGAGCCTTGGCTCTAAGGGACAGGAAAGCAGGGTAGCGGGACAGGTGGTGGTGGTTCAGGCAAGAACAGATCTAGGATCTCTCGATATCTTTCACTTCTCCCCCAACAAGATCAGGTTTTTCTTTGGCCATGATATCCTCTTGGTGGTAAGATGGCTGCCAGCACCCCATGGTTGCACGCTATCTTGTCTACATCCCCAGGAAGTCTCTGTTGTAACCCTTGGGTGTTTTACCAGAGGATGATGGGTTGGATTAGGTCATAGACAGGCAAGCCAAGAGAGTCCTGCAAAGACCTGGTTCTAACAGCACTTCAGACAGGGCCAGGCTACCCTGTCCCAAGGAGCATCCTGCTAGGTGAGGGAAACATTGGCCTCTCAGAGGGTGGGGAAAGAGGGCTCGGGGTCTCTTGTCTTCTTCCTCCAGATCCCCATGTCCATGTGTTCCAAGAGCTGCCAGCCTGGGCAAATGAAAAAACCCGTGGGTCTCCACACCTGCTGCTTTGAGTGCATGAACTGCTTACCAGGCACCTACCTCAACCGCTCTGCAGGTACGGCTCCCGTCACCCCTGCTCGGCACTTCCTCAGCAGACCTTGGCTTCTGTTCATAGCTCAGCACCCCTACCCTGTCCTGGAGTTTTTAGGGGTCTCTTCCCTATGCCAGGGTCTCTGAGGCCTTCCCAGGAATGCAAGTTTCCAAAGGCCAGAGACCAAGCCTGGTACTTCTTGTGGCTCCCCATGAAGCACAATCCCCAGTACAGGTTTCGGTGTGTGTGATACTCCGGGATCAGTCCTCACACTGTGTGCCAAGCACTCAACCCACTCAGCCATCTCCCCAGTTCCACTGACTGAATTCTCACTTGAAAGACACTCTCTCTAGAACACCGACCAAGCCCAGGGTTAAAATTCACACCAGGGTAGCACAGTTCTGGGTTGAGTGTAAGCTTTCTCATGACCTCATGGATTAAAAATTAATTGACGATTTCACCTTTGAACAAAAATCCTTGCTGTGTGCCCAGCAGCACACAGGCTCTGACGAAGCGCTGGTCAAGTCTGTTGAAGGCTCCTGCTGACCCGCCTGTCACAGTTGTCAGTGGCCTGCGGACAGGAGCTCTCTGTCTCCGGTAACTGTCTCGGTGTCCAGCTCTCAATGGGGCTGGGGACACATGGTTGGTAAAGAGCTTGCCTTGCATATACAAGGACATGGGTTTGGTCCCTAGAACCCATGTGAAACAGAGCCAGGCATGATGCATTTGGAACCAGGGCTGGGGAGGTTGAGACAAGTGGATCCCTGGGGCTCACTTGTCAGTTTAGATGACTTGTTGAGTTCCAGGCAAGTGGGAGACCTAGTCTCAATAAAAAAGAAAGAAAGAAAGAAAGAGAGAGAGAGAGAGAGAGAGAGAGAGAGAAAAGAAAGAAGGAAAAGGATGACATTTGAGGAATAATACTGATGTTGTCTTTTAGCCTGTATACCCATGTGTACACACACACACACACACACACACACACACACACACACACACACACGCCCCATGTAAACACCCCCCCCCCAAATACTAACAGAATGAGGCCCTTGAGGATGTGGTTGCAAGCCTCTCCCAATAGGGGGCGATATCTTGACAGAGTGGTCTTAGAGTTGGGTTCTGAGCAAGGAGACCTGGGTTTGAATCCTTATTTGGTAACTTACTGGCTCTGTGACTTTGAGAAAGGGACTTAACCCAGCTGATGAGGCTGCAGGGGTCCTTGCCTCCCTCTGGCTCAGGGCCCAGAAGACACAGCAGCTCACAGGTGGGGATCCAGCTAATGGGAGTTGCTGTGGGTTCTTGCAGATGAGTTTAACTGTTTGCCTTGCCCGGATTTCATGTGGTCCCACATGAACGCCATCACTTGCTTCAAGCGGCAGCAGGCCTTCCTGGAGTGGCACGAAGCGCCCACCATTGTGGTGGTCATACTGGCTTTCCTAGGCTTCTTCAGCACGCTGGCCATTCTGCTCATCTTCTGGAGACATTTCCAGACACCCATGGTGCGCTCCGCTGGTGGCCCCATGTGCTTCCTGATGCTGGTGCCGCTCCTGCTGGCATTTGGGATGGTGCCGGTGTACGTGGGACGCCCCACGGTCTTCACATGTTTCTGCCGCCAGGCTTTCTTCACCGTCTGCTTCTCCGTCTGCCTGTCCTGCATCACTGTGCGCTCCTTCCAGATTGTGTGTGTCTTCAAGATGGCCAGACGCTTGCCACGAGCCTATGGCTTCTGGGTGCGTTACCATGGGCCCTATGTCTTTGTGGCCTTCATCACAGCCATCAAGATAGCCCTGGTGGCGGCCAACATGCTGGCCACCACCATCAACCCCATTGGCCGGACTGACCCTGAGGACCCTAACATCGTGATCCTCTCCTGTCACCCTAATTACCGCAACGGGCTACTGTTCAACACCAGCATGGACTTGCTGCTGTCCGTGGTGGGATTCAGCTTTGCTTACATGGGCAAAGAATTACCCACCAACTACAATGAGGCTAAGTTCATCACCCTCAGCATGACCTTCTCCTTCACCTCTTCCATCTCCCTCTGCACCTTCATGTCCGTCCACAATGGAGTGCTGGTCACCATCATGGACCTCCTGGTCACTGTGCTCAACTTCCTGGCCATCAGTTTGGGATACTTTGGCCCCAAGTGTTACATGATCCTGTTCTACCCAGAGCGCAACACTCCAGCTTACTTCAATAGCATGATCCAGGGCTACACCATGAGGAAGAGCTAGCCTTGCCCACCGGCCTCAGGGGCAGAGACCCCAGCCTGCTACTGGTGTTCCTATGCCATTTCTGTAGTCTGGACATTTTTACCCACTTAGCACTTGAAAATACCCATAATGCACTCCCGCCCCCCCCCCCCCCCCCAGCTGTTTCACTGGCCCGGAGCTGCCACTCACTTATGGAAGAAGCCACCCAAGGTGACCTATGGGGCTCCAAGTACAGTCTGATTTATAAGCCTACCGCTGCCATCTGGTGGTCACAGTGAGCACCTGCAGGCTGTGGCCCATGCCTTTCAGCCTGCTCAAGGCTGGTCATTGTGAGGCCCACCGTGGGCTCCAGCATGTTTCCTGTTTCTGTGTTCCATTTCCAGTTCCCAGGAAGCACACGTTTGGGCTTCTATGTTCTAATGGACAGCTAGGCATCATGGGTCCTTCATTGTTGCTTATGAATAAACTTTCCTTGGGTGAAATCGATGTCCCTTCTTGATTTCAGAGGTTCCCCAAGGAAAGGCCCACGGACTCAGTCGGGGCATTCATTGCTGGGTGACCTTAGGCCAACTTGCCCTTAAGCCTACAACTTGCCCACCTCTGAAATGGGAACCATAGTTGGAAATGTTGATGTTTGGGGGCTGAAGAAATGGAAGATGTTACAGACTTGGTAGGAAGGGAGCTGTGATGAGTTACCCTTCAGGAAGAGATCTGGGGAGAGCCACCGCATGGTTGCCATAGACAGCCATGATGGGGCCTGGGGGGAGCCTGTGGGTCCTAAGAGGAGCTTCCTTAAGAGAGATAACCACCACAGACAGCATGACGGGGCTGCAAGAGAATAAGCCTTCACTTCTTTGGAAGCCTTGTTCTGTGGGGTGTGTGTGTGTGGGGGGGACATTCTCCATTATGTTACTTAGGCTACGTGCCAGAAATCCCAGAGCAGAAAGGCACTAGTCAAAAGTGAAGTTACAATTCAATGTTTGGGGCCTGGATATCAACTGCGAGGGAGTCTTCCAGGTCATAGCAAGCTTGCTTATCAATGCCCTGTCCAGAGAGAGAGCTGTGAGGAGGCATGGCCTGATTTCTGAGGGTGGGGAGGGGCAGATAAAGGGTTTATAATATAACAAGAATCAGGCCTGATCCCTCGGTGCTCACCAAGGAGACAGAGCTCCAGTGTGAGGTTCTAAACTACCCTCCAGAGAGCCTCAGGGGCCAGCTCAGGGGCACCCAGATCTCAGACAAGAGTGCAAGCATTGGAGTGGTGGTGTTTGGGCAGGACAGAGGGACAAGCTTCCGGAAGGGTCACCACTGGAGGACATGGGTGGAGGTTTTTCAAATCTCCTCTGGGAATGAGAAGTTTCCCAACAGTTGAGAGGATGGAGCTGTTTCCTCCCGGGTTAAAGAACAGAAGTGTGGGGGTGGGGCCAGGTGTGGATATCAAGAGGAAAGATGGGAACACAGAGCAGAAGGAAAGACAACTGGGGCCCCAGGACAGAGGCTCAGCTCTGGGTCTCGGGGCCTTGTCCTTTCTGAGTGTCCCCGCCAGTGTTCTGGGCACAATGTGCCCCCTGCCTCTCTGATCTGTCACCTAAGAAGCCATCCTGGCACCTCTTGCTCCATGTCCAGCTGTGTCTTCCCATAGTCCTCAGCTTGGGTCTCATGTAGGGGCTGGAGATAGTGAGGGGAAGACCCTGGACTGGGCAGTATTTCCCAGAGGAGCCAAACAGAGCTTAGGATATGCGTATACAATGGTAAGAAGACGTTTATTAGATGAGTCTACTGGGCCGCTATAGTGACCTGCAGACAGGAGAGCTGGGGACCCCACAGCTGCAAAAGAAGGAACTTTGCTGTCAGACAGAGAGGGGACAACTTTGCAGTCCCAGTCTGAGGCCAAAGGCCTTGGCACCTCTGCAGAACACTGGTCCACATCCAAGTTCAAAGGTTAAATGATCCAGAGTCTGGTGATGTCTGCTGCAACAGAAGCACTCTCTCAAGGATGACGCGGAATGCATACTAGCATTCCTCTTCCATGCTTCACCCTGCCAGACCCACAGGGCCATGCCAGTCACCTCAGGAAATGCTCCAAAGTGTGCTTTACCAACCGTCTAACTAACTCACTAACTAACTAACTAACTAACTAACTAACTAACTAACTAACTAACTAACCAACCAACCAACTAAGATGGTTCTTAGTGCAACAATGGAATCTCTCAGCAGACACTAAGGATGTGGTTTTTTTTAAAAGCGAGGTCTTTGTGGAATATTCCTTCTCCATCCTGTCCATACTTCCCAGGAGATCCTGGAGCCTAGACAGAGGGGCCTGGCTCGGCTCTGAGCTTTCAAGGAACGATTTGTAGGGTCTGGTCCTGGCTGTGTCCCATATGGTCCCCCTTGCCTGAGGGACCAGATTGTAGGGGCACAGGGAGTTTTAATCTCTTAATTCCTTCTCTTTACATCCTTCTGTGCCTTGGCTTAATTTTTCTTTTTTCTTTTTTGTTGAAAAAGAGCTAATGGCCTTTATTTCTGAGTTCCGCTGGAGGACCACCATTAGTGAAGAAAATCCCAGAACCTCGCTGACCTCAGGGGGTACCCAGTGCACACATCCTGCACGGCCACTGTAATGGAGGGGTCTGAATCCTTTCTTCCCTTCCAGTGACTGAGGACACCCTCCATTGTTAGACAACTATTGTGTTGTGTTGTGTTGTGTGTGTGTGTGTGTGTGTGGCATATGTGTGTGTTGTGTTGTGTGTATGGGACATGTGTGTGATGTGTGTTGTAGGTTGTGTGTATGTGTGTTGTATGTAGGTATATGTGTGGGGTATGTTGTGTGTGTGTGTGTGTGTGTGTGTGTGTGTGTGTGTGTGTGTGTGTGTGTGTATGGTGTGTTGGGTGTATGTGTATGGTGTATGCAGGTACAAATGCATGCTTGTTCACCTGCATGTAGTAGCCAGAGGACAACCTCCTGTGTTGTTCATCTTTTTTTTTTTTTTCCCCCTTTGGAGCTGTGGCCTCTTACTGCCCTGGAACTTACCCGGTAGTCCAGGCTAACCTGCAGACTCCAGGGATCCCTTGTCAGGCCAAGGAAGGCTCCTGATATGTTGACAGCTTGTATCAAGCTGAGGACTGAGGAATGAGCAGCAGCTCTGAGCCCGATGGCTTCAGTTTGACTCCCATGAACCCAGGTAGTGGAAGAAGAGAACCACCTCTACACCGTGCACACACAGGGCAGATAGATGTGCTTTCAAAAAAGGTGAGAGGCGGGTAGCCAAAGAAGGGAGGGGTGCTGTGGACTGCTTCAGGAAGAGAGCCAGCCTGAGCAAAGGCCCTGGGGCAGGGGGACCCAGCAACTCAGAGAGCAGAGTTAGGGAGCTGAACCTGAGTGAGGGAGAAGAGGCAAGGGGAAGAGAGAGACAGAGAGGTGAGATGGGGTGAGGGAGAGAGCAGGAGAGGAAAGTAGGCGTGGGAAGAGACAATATGGAGGGGCAAGGCAGCTGTGTGGACAGTGGGTGAGGACTGCGCATGCCCCACAGGACAGCTGTGGTCTTCAGCAGGATACCTGTCGCCCAGGAGTCCCTGACAAGTACAATTTAGACTTTGTCCAGGGGGCTTTGAGAGAAAAGAGCAGGTTTGTAGGGATGGAGCTCAAGGGCCGAATGAGGCTAGGAGACCCTTGAGGAGTCAGCTACTAGGTCTGATGGAGCTGGTGATGCATGGGGTTGGGGCCACATCAGCTGACTGAATGCAGGGGTGAGCTAGGGAAGGGGAAGGGATCTGGGGAGGGAGAGGGGGCTGGGGTTTGGGTTTGCAGCTGTCTAGGGCAGCTGTTGGATGGTTTGGGCTACACCAAGCCTCGAGGCATGCTTGGTACCCAGCCCAGCATGCTGGTGCATGCTCACCGATTTCTGCAGGCCTCCCGTTGCACTGCGCGGATGTCACCAAGAAGTCTAGCAGATGCCAGAGTCCCACAGAGAACCTGGGAGCCCACAGGCCAACAGCCATCCAGGACCAACCCATCCCCAGTGCTGCCCAGTTCTTGGGGTACAAGCAAGAGGGTCAGAGTCTCTCTTGCCTAGGATGTCCCCCTAGGATGGGGACACCCAATTGGAATGTCTAGGGTGGCAAGGCAAAGACAGGTCTACTTCTACCAGAGGAGTGGCTGGCCGTCCTCCTTCCAATGATGATGTATAGGCCACCTGCTTCCAGTTAGCAGCTCCAGGCACCTAATTGGCAGATCAAACAATCTGATGTTCCACGTTAGATAAGTTGTTAACACACTCTGCGGACACTGACACTTTCTGGATGGATTCCAAGCCCCATCTGACCACCGTGGGAGAGGGGTGCTAATAAGAACCAGGCCCTTGTGCACAGAAGTGAGAAGAGGTGTGCGAGCATGAACAGCTTTGAAGAGCCGAGGCAAATGCAGCCGTGGCTGCCAAGGAGGGCACAGGAGCTGCTGAGTCTTAAGGCCACTCAAGACCGTGGACTTGAACCCAGACGAGACAGGAGCTCTCTCAGAGAGGACTACTGACAGAGACCCAGTGGCCGCCGAAGATTTCAAGGAACCCCGAGTCCTGCCCTGATGGAATCGTGAATGGAGTGCTACAGATTCGAAGCAGGAGACATTGGCTCCTAGAATTTCTGTGACTTGAAGGGCTCTGGGTAAGTGGCTGCAGCTTTGTTACCCGAGAAACCAGAAAACAGAGGAGCCACTGTGAAGGAACACTTTGTCTGTACCTGAGGGGACAAATTGTCTCAGGTCCCTACATGCCTGAGATACAATGGGCCTGGGTGTGGTCCTTACCTGCAGAAATTACCTCTGAAATCACTGTCACAGAGGCCTCAGTATAGAGTCACAGTGGCCCCTCACATAATCACAGTGTTTCCTTGAAGAGTCACAGTGTCCCCCTCACAGAGTCACAGTGGCTCCTGTGGTAAACTGAATGCATTTTGCTTTATGATATAGCTATAAGCCTTTGGGGACCAGGGAGTGGAATGTGGTGGTTTGAATAGGAACAGTCCCC